GCCCCGTAGTAGTTCCTTTTTGGGATTACCTTATAGGATTCTATATATGAACCCCAAAAAGGGCTTACTTTAGGGCCTATGGGTACAGTCCCCAGCTCAGAAAGTATTTTTTGCTCGGGTCCCAAGTGCAGAAAGGGCATGGGGCACTGTGTCGGATTGCACTCCCTGGCCCCTGGTTTTGTGGAGGACATGGCCCCGCTAAACCCTATAGACCCTAAACCCTGAACCCTGAACCCTAAACCCAATGGGTGTTTGAGGGTTTGAGGGTTCAGGGGTGTAGGGTTTAGGGTTTTTGAGGGTTTGAGGGTTTGAGGGTTCAGGGGTTTTGGGTTGAGGGGTCTAGATCCTTTGAAAGCCTTCTGCCCGCTACAGCGCACGGTATATCCTCTGCCCTAAAGATGTAAGGTACCGAAGTTTCAAGTATTCAACCCTGAGAGGCTATAAGTCCCGAAGCTTTTTGGCTGAGTGTCCCTAGGCTACCATACTTCTGGGGTTGAGAAGTTATACGGTTTACGGTTTAAGGTTTAGTGGACTTAACATGTTCTTAAATGCTCGAACTGTCTTACTCACAAGGCCTGAACCCGGTGTTCAGAACTCGTAGGATTCAGGACCCTAGTGCTGCTAGACCCCCAACAGCACTGAACCCTGAAGCCTCAGAGGTAGTAGCCAGGTTTCTTAGGGGGTTCGGGGATCGGTGTCCCGCAGTTTAGGGTTTAGGGGTTAAGGGGTTTAGGGTTTAGTGGTTTAGGAAGTGCCTTTCGATTTTAAGAGAGAAGGGTTTTGTAGTACTTGGGGGTCCGAATTCAGATGTTGGGGTGTCTCTCAGCTGATCGACACCCTACTTGTCGGAACCCTTAAACCCTGAACCCGAAACGCTGAAAGTCCTAAAGCCCTATACCATCTATACTTGGAGGTTCATGGGTAGTTCGAAAGGGAGTTATAAGTGCCCTAATATGGGTTATAACTATAGTTACCTCACTTAGAACCCCACTTCTAAAGGGAGTTATAAGTGCCCTAATATGGGTTATAACTATAGTTGCCTCACTTAGAACCCCACTTATAACTACCCATGAACCTCCAAGTACCCAACTATAGGACCTCATAGATCTGCTCCCGCACGACAGGCCCCTGCTGCTCCTTTTAGCTGGGGTGGTGGCGGCTCTTTGGCCTGAACTTCAACGGTTTAGGGTTTAGGATTCAGGGTTTTGGGCTTTAGGGCTTAGGGCTCAGGGTTCTGGGCTTTAGGGTTCAGGGTTTAGGGCTTTAGGGTTTAGGGTTCAGGGCTTTAGGGCAATTTAGGGTTTAGGGTCCAGGGCCCAGGACTCAGGGTTTAGGGTTTAGGGTTCCGGGGAGGATTTAGGGTTGAGGGTTTAGATCTCGGACTGGTTCCCCCGAAAGCGCGGAGCCCTGAATCCTAACCCTCCAAACCCAGACCTGAAGCTGCTCCTACCGCTTCTAGGACGCTTTCGGGTGGGAAGTTACCGTTATAGAGACCCTATGGAAGGTCTATATACCTTATAGAAGCCCTATATACCCTAAACTCCCTACCTGTAGTCTGTAGTTTCCTTTAACCACTCTGGTTCTCGTTGAGGAGTTTGGTTTCAGTTAGTCCCATACGAAGTCGTATGATCCACTGTAGATCCTTATTATGGTAACTTAAAACCCTAAACCCTAAACCAAAAACCCAGTACTGGGTCCCCCTGAGCCTCCAAGTAGCAAAAGCGCCCTCCAACTTGAGAGATCAAACACCCTCGACATCGGAGTGCGGTTGGCTTTCCTGCCTTTTTGTTTCCAGAGGTTTAGGGGTTTAGGGTTTAGGGGTTAGGGTTCAGGCTGTCAGGGGGTGTTGTTTTTTTCCGGAGATGAGGGATTTTGTCTTGTTGCTAAGGACTTGAAAGTCAAGTTCAGGGCTTAAGGAGTTTAGGGTGGGGGGCTTCCTTGAAAAAGGGTTTTCCGGTCCTACGCAAGTGATCGGTTTGCTGGATCCCAAAGAAAAGCCTGCAACATAGATTGAGAGGTGCCTTCATGCATGCCTAGATTGGCACACTGAGCTTCAAATCAAAGCCTAAGCCTAAGCACAATCCAGAGCCGTTGGGCTTGGATACATGTGTAACGAGATTCAAGCCGACAAGCGAAGTGCGGATAATAAGGTTTCGCCTCTGCTGTTGATTCTTGCACCAAGCAGAGTAGCATGCGCCATAGCATGCGACAACAGATTCTGCCACGCAGACTGCCTGCCCTGCAGAAAACCTTCCTTTTGCGGTCCCAAGGTCTGGGAGAGAGTCATGGCATGGCGCTGGTGGACAGCGGGGCATCGCATGCTTATCGGGCACCCAACTGGCAGATGGCCGACGTGTTCTCCTGCGGCAGAACCAAGGGGGAACTTTGTTGGCGGAGGACGAGACTGGAGGGACGATCATTCCCCTCGGCAGCCTCGTGGAGTCCTTAGGCTGCAAGTTGGCTTGGAGCCGAAAGAAGGGACTCAGGCTTGTCCACCCGAAGCACGGCCTGCTGCCAACCGAGCTGGTCTGGAGCACTCCAGTTCTTCGTGAGTCCGAGGCCCTCCAATTGATTGCCGATTTGGAACAGAAGGAGCTCGACAAGCTGCAGGATAACACCACGACACCCCGCCGTAACCCTTTTCGTATCTCTTCTTGTGCCCCTGCATTGATCGTTTACTAGCCCTTGTAATTCATACCCTTCGTAGTACCCGGTCTCGTAACCCACAAAGCCCGCCCTAACCCCTAAACCCTTATCCATCAACCCGAAACCCAAAACCCTCAAGTCTCTACCCTCAACCCTAAACCCTAAACCCCAAATCCTAAATCCTAAACCCTAAATTCTAAACCCTAAGTCCTAGAATTCTAAACCCTAAACCCTAAACCCTAAACCCTAAACCCTAAATCCTAAACCCCCCAAAACCCCCCTAAACCCCCCATGCCCCATACACCCCCAGGGGCTCCTGACTTGCGGCTGCATCTGTGGGCACTGCGCCTGGGAGAGCCGGGGGCACTGGGGTTTAGGGTTTAGGGTTTAGGGTTTAGGGTTTAGGGTTTAGGGTTTAGGGGGGGGGGGGAAATGCAGTCATCGGGGGCCTTCAGGGGTGTAGGAGTTTAGGGTTTAGGAGTTTAGGGGTTTAGGGGTTTAGGAGTTGAGGGGTTTAGGGGTTTAGGGGTTTAGGAGTTTAGGGGGTTTGGGTTTCTTAGGGGGTTTGGGTTTGAGGGGTTTAGGGTTTCGGGTCTTTGTGGGGCTTAGGGTTTAGG